CGAACAGGTATGAACGAGGTACGAACAGGTATGAACGAGGTACGAACAGAGTGCGTGTGCGCATGCGCGCCATCGCGTAAATAACGAACGTCGAACTAAGTAAGGTTCGAAATAATCTCAAAATGCAGCGCGACTCGCGCGCCTCCTGCTGCTTCGGCCGCGGCGACCACAGGTGCGGGTGGGATACGGCGCTTCACCTTGACCCACGATCATGACGCTCATTGACCTGTGACGTCATCAGTGGACACAATCCAGTTGGGTCAGTTCCGTAAATTCTGTAAAAAAGCGCGGAATTCGCGACGCGAAATACTCGCGATTCGAATGTCTGGCCATCGGCCATCGGTCAAGCGAGCGATGCTTGACCCGTGCTCACCTCCACGCAAAGAGGCGTGACGGTCCAGAGCGCGACCGTGGCGACACCTACGCACACCGAGCGAGTTTCTCTCCGAGTTCCGTCGCGACTTCCCATCTATATCGGACACGTGGCGACCCCTATCCTCGCTCACGATAGAGGCGCCCTCTTGTGGCGACCTCTGGCAGCCGACTCCGACATCAATCCTCGCGGGACGAGTAACTACCGAGTTTTTCTTACACGTTCAAAAAAGCAGCCGACTCTTTCAGAAAAACTCCACGACGACGACGATGACGACGACGGCGACGATGACGATGACGACAACGATGACGATGACGACGGCGACGACGATGGTCTCTGGCGACCGTGCGAGACCTAGCGGGGCCCCCTGGCGGCGGACGCCCGCGCCTCGCTTCACAGCGAGTGAGAGTTCGCCGAGTCACTCTCGCGACTTCGCGTCCGTATCGGGAAGTGAACGACGGCTACCGGCAGCGGCGCGTCGTCGGCGCCGACGCCCGCACGTCGGCACAGCGTCGACGGCAGCCGACGCAGCGCCTTGCGAAAGTTGGCGCCCGCGAGGCTGCACAGAAAGAAGTTGATGGAGAAGTTGGTGTAGTAGACGAGCTGAGCGTACTGCTGAGCGACCTCCAGCCGCTCAGTGGGCACGAACCCTGGATCTAGCAGGTGCACGACGAACACGTGCAGGCGGACGGCGTGGCTCGGCAGGTTCAGGGTAATGAAGACCGTCGAGACGAACGAAGAGCAGCATCTTCGTGATGCGGATCTGGTTGCGCGAGCGCAGCGCGTCGCGGTAACTGGTCGGCAGCGCGCCGTTCCGCAACGTCGCCCCGCCGCCCTGCAGGAGGCGCTGCTGCTGCTGCTGCTGCTGCGACGCGCATGCGCCGGAGTGGAAGCTCGCGCACGTGCGCGTCGCCAGCAACGTGTTGGTAGAGATTGCTCCGTTCGTTGGGAAGCCGCGCGCGACGACGTAGCGGGAGGTCGCCAGCGTCCGCGGACATCGCTGAGCGACGCTTGTAGAAGGCGACGACCTTCCGAGCGATCGTCACGTTCATCGTGACAATGACGATGAAGGGAATGATGAGAGTTGTCACCGTGTCAACGTTATTCAGCCCCTGTCACGCCGGCAGGTAGCGCTCGTACAGCAGACACTGAGGCGGGTAGCCTCCGTCGGCGTCGCCATCAACGTCCACGATGCCAGCGACGACGAACGCGTAGCTGTAGACGACGAGGGCCGTGGCGACGAGGCCCGCTATCGTCATGTTGGCGCGTCGGGCCGTGCACATCGTCGGCCGGTGCAGCGGGTAGCAGACGGCGATGAAGCGCTCGACGGTGAAGGCGACGACGAACCAGACGGACAGGAAGCTGCAGACGAGCGTGCAGTAGACGACGAACTTGCAGCCGCCGTCGCGGTTGTACCAGCCGACGTCGAGGCTGTTCAGCCAGACGACGAACAGTCCGAGCAGGAACCCGCTGTCGGCCGTCGCCAGAGCCGCTAGGTAGTACGAGGACGACACCTGGCGGAGCTTCGACGTCGAGAAGACGAGCACGGATGCGGCGTTGCCTTAGCAACCCGACGAATATGAGCAGCGGCACGTAGAACTGCGTGATGGTTAGCAGCACGTAGCGCCCCCATGTGAGCGCGTCGTCGTCAGCGGCGGCGGCAGCGGCGGTCGTCACCGACGCGTTGATTGCCGTCGGCGTTGCCGTGGCAACCGCACACAGCATGACCGTCCCGTTACAATGAAGCATGGCCGGTCGGTGATGGGTCAGTGATGGGTCAGGGATGGGTCAGTGATGGGTCAGGGATGGGTCAGTGATGGGTCAGGGATACGCACGCACGCACACAATATTGCGAGAGAGAGAGAGAGATACACACACACAGACATACAGAGTGAGAGAGAGAGACAGAGACAGAGAGAGAGAGAGAGAGAGAGAGAGAGAGAGAGAGAGAGAGAGAGAGAGAGAGAGAGAGAGAGAGAGAGAGGGGGTGAGAGTCACGGAGAGGGAGGAGGGAGAGGGTCAGCGGGAAGGCGAGAGAAGTAACTATATTAGAAGGAATATGTGCCTGTGTGTGTGCCGTTTGCGCCGTACGTGCGTTTGTCTGCGCGTGTGTGCTGCGCATGCGTGTGCACATCTCCGTCTGCATTAATTCTTCCCTCCCTCCGCCCCTCTCTCCTTTCTCTCCTCTTTCCTTCCTCCTTCTGTCTAACTCCCTTCCCCGCAGTATTTCCCTCCCCCTATCGCGGATAGTATCGCCCACGGCATCAGTTGCGCTGTGAAAAGTTAGCCAGGCAAATGGCCGGTTTTCAGCCTCAACTTTTTCACTCCCCCAAAGCACAAAATATGATTATACGGCTATAATACGCGTTTTTACAGTCACACAAACACACATACACACGCACGACCGGGCGCGCACACGCGGGTATGGTTGCACGCACGCGTGCGCGTGTATTATAAGCGTAAATTCACATTTTGTGCTTCGCGGGGTGAAAAAGTTTTGGCTGAAATACGGCCATTTACCTGAAAAAGTTTTTCCATGCTTGACTGGTCGTGGGCGATACTATCCGCGAGAGGGAGTAAGGAATAAGTGATTACTTTTATTCACTGTTAATGTTACTGCCTGACACAGCAGTTGAAAGGTCAGCATAAAGAACCGGCAATTGTTTATTATTATTATTATTATTATTATTAAATCTTTTTTGCACGTAATTCAACTACAAATACATGTACTGAAGACAGTGTTTGTCACGGAGAAAAAATCTAATGAATGCAATAGTGTTGAGCAGTTAAAATAATAACATTTCTGAGTGATACAGTACATTGTGTGATACATGGTTTTGACTGATACATGTTACATCAAAGTTTTACATATTGTTACACGACTGTGACATGAATCTGCGTGAATGACAACATGAAACGACTATTGTGTACGTCGGTAATCGGCGAGCTATAGCGGCTGTTTAATCTGCTGTCGGCACTCGTGTAAAACAACTATTTTTACTTTATATATGACTCTCAGGTATATATGATGACTCTAAAAAGCTAAAACTACTTGTCACATATTGTCCTTGAAAAAATAATTCACTTTTGTGGGAATCATGTGTTAGGTTTGTTGCTAGTTGTGCCGTATCTGAGTTGATCTTCCTGTGTGTATCTATTAGCAGTACATTCCACGTTCCAACACAGCTTTCTGCGTATTTATTAGAATGCTGTTGATGCACGTATCGTTGGATTTTGAAGAGGAAGAGGACAGCTAACACGTGGAACAGCTAGGGACCACTATACGTTATAGTCTTTCACTTGTAGTTTTCAGGTGCGAGGGCAGAGCCAATGCAACAACAGAATTCGTATTCCTTACTCTGCTGTTCTAGAGCGCCTTTTCTTGTATATATATATATATAATATGTAACCGCTTCCCGATACGTAACCATGGCAACGAGCATGTACACGAGCTGTGTGTGTATGTACAGTGTAGACATCCTATGTACGCAGAATACAAAAATGCCAAATAAATGCTTCTGCCTTATTTACCATTACTAACGGTTATTTATTTTGCATTGTTTTACAATCACATTCGTCATGCCTGCACCAGGTCAACATAAGTAATGTTTAAAAACACATCTATTGAGGCGATATCGTCACACGGTGTTACCTTCGATAGGTAGACAACAAATTCTTACTAATAAGATACATATTTATCGATATCACAGCAGCTTTGCATGAAGATAATCGTAATTAGAATGGTTTTAATAATCACAGCTAGTTGATTGTTCGTTAGGTAACACTGTCCAGTGTTCCCTCCCCAACCTTCCGGTTAGGGATAGGGTAGTCCGTGCACTCGGGAATTCTAGGAACATTCCCCGTGGTTCTAGCAGGTTGTTCACGATAGATCATCGCTCACCGAGTCTCAGTAGTAAATGCATCTGATGTGATGAAAGGGAAGCTGTATGCTGCTGTCTTCAGCCGTCTTGGTTTTGATCAGATCCCAGAGGTATAGGTTGACCATCACGACGTTCACGTGCACTCTGGCAGCGCCCTCTGTCTGCAGGAGGGTGCACAGTTTTGCGAGGGCCAACTAAGCGAGAAGATATGGTCACGTTAGAAGTTTTACGCGTGAAATCAGAGAGAAATTCACAGTTTCACGACACAGCTGGTCACTCAATCCTGATCCGCTCGTCTTTCGAAAACGAATGAACTTTCGGTCACCATCAACTAAATCAATAAAAATTACATTTTCCACCAGAAGGCTTAGTGACTAGATGATAACTTGACAGATTGCAGGAATGTTTCGCGACAGATATTCGCGTACCTCCACCGCCGAGATGCTAGCGCCCCTGATCTCGACCTCCTTCCTATCACCACTCTGGAACAAATTAAGTGACCTGGAAAATATACAACATCACAATTTAACTGATTACGTCAACCTGCATCCAGATGATGTATTATTCAATAATCGTACGATAATTCTGCATTATGTATGCAGATGTGACGCAGTCTAGCTTTACATTCAGCAATCTTGGCTAATCTTTAAGAGCATGTGAAGGTTCGGTCGTTGAAGCATTGTCGGTTCACGCCAACCTCTGATATTAATTTGCAAGGTTAACTTATGCTGCCCTTGATCACACATAAGAACATTGAATTCATTGAAAACATTTCTGCATCTTTTAGCAGCAGATCCAGGAGTATCTGCGAATACTCCAGAACGTCGAAGTGAACCAGCGCCTGCGGTATTCTACTAATAACAAACGAGCATCCGTATTAGCGATTAATTAATTACAGATGAAACCCAGGTAGGAAATGTTCCAACATCAATGGATCCATCTCACAAATTCTGATCACTCCGATATACAGCAACTTAAAGGATAGGGGCTATATAATATGTTATAGGGCCTATATAATATAGGGCTTATATAATAATAGGACCTATATATTATAGGACTTATATAATTATAGGATCTATATAATATGTTAGGCCCTGTAATTGGGTTTTAGTTGCCCTGTCTGTAAGGTAACATGAACCTGTAATCGGCAAACATGGTGAGGGTGTCTATGTCGTGGAATTCGCCGTGACCTTTGCCCTCACAACACGCCCAGATGTCTGCTACCAGGATCTAAGCTCGCTTCCATAGTGCCACTCAAAAAATAATGGAACAATGATAGTACAATTATGGAACAACGACGGAACAATGATGGAACAATAATCGTACAATGATAGAAAAGTGGGAGAACACTGATGGAACAATGATAGAACAATTATATCACTGACGAACCATTATCTACTGTTGCACGTTTTACACGGAGGTATACAATGTAAATTCGGAAATATCCTTGGGCATTGACGGGGCCAGACATGCAGGAATTAGTCCGAAACCGTCGACGATATCAATGATAGATTCAACAAAGAAACTCTATCATCACCATTCTCATACACGGCTAGTTTGAGTCACACACGCCTTTGTTCAAGATGTGTAAATATGTCACCAGTGTGTAAACATTTCATGGACAGCTCACTGCTGCACAACGCGGCACGCTACCCTAATAGATGACACTGTCGTTGCATACTCAATGCGACCACTAGATGGTGATGCCGCTCGTGCACTACCTCTGCGTCCCACGTACGTGGTTTCGTCCCTGTATGACGGGAAGTTGTCCAAGATCAGGCGGAGCAGGCGGGATGCACTCTTGTTGCTACGCTCGACGCACGTCAGGTCAGGAAGGAGCCGGAGAATTTCTACCAGCGAAACAATCAACGACGAAATAAGTACGACGACAACGACGCTGGCATGCGAATGCTATCGCGATATTTGCTGTCACATCTGAGAGTTGGAATGTTATCTTGCACGCTATTCCAATGGTCAGTTTTTTCTGTACTGCCTGATATTCCGCCTGTTTTTCTGCATTATTCCCTCACATTTCCCACTATTGCTTTATATTCCTTGCTTCTCTTCCATATTCTCCTACATAGCCACTGTATTCACTGCTGTATCCATGTAAAACTGAATGTTTTCACATTTCCATTATATCACAGCAGCTTTGCATGAAGATAATCGTAATTAGAATGGTTTTAATAATCACAGCTAGTTGATTGTTCGTTAGGTAACACTGTCCAGTGTTTCCTACCCAACCTTCCGGTTAGGGATAGGGTCGTCCGTGCACTCGGGGGTTCTAGGAACATTCCCCGTGGTTCTAGCAGGTTGTTCACGATAGATCGCTCACTGAGTCTCAGTAGTAAATGCATCTGATGTGATGGAAGGGAAGCTGGGAGCTGCCTTCAGCTGTCTTGGTTTTGATCAGATCCCAGAGGTAGAGGTTGACAATCACGACGTTTACGTGCACTCTGGCAGCGCCCTCTGTCTGCAGGAGGGTGCACAGTTTTGCGAGGGCCAACTAAGCGAGAAGATATCGTCACGTTAGAAGTTTTACGAGTGAAATCAGAGAGAAATTAGAGAGAAGGCTTAGTGACTATAGATGATAACTTGACAGATTGCAGGAATGTTTCGCGACAGATATTCGTGTACCTCCACTGCCGAGATGCTAGCACCCCTGATCTCGACTTCTTTGAAGGTTCGATCGTTGAAGCATTGTCGGTTCACGCCAACCTCTGATATTAATTTACAAGGTTAACGTCTGCTGCCCTTGATCACACATAAGAACATTGAATTCATTGAAAACATTCAAAACATTTCTGCACCTTTTAGCAGCAGATCCAGGAGTATCTGCGAAGTAAACCAGCGCCTGCGGTATTCTACAAATAACAAACGAGCATCCGTATTAGCGATTAATTAATTACAGATGAACCCCAGGTAGGAAATGTTCCAACATCAATGGATCCATCTCACATATTCTGATCACTCCGATATACAGGAACTTAAAATATAGGGGCTATATAATATGTTATATAGGGCCTATATACTATAGGGCTTATATAATTATAGGATCTATATAATATGTTAGGCCCTGTAATTGGGTTTTAGTTGCCCTGCCTGTAAGGTAACATGAACCTGTAATTGGCAAACATGGTGAGGGTGTCTATGTCGTGGAATTCGCCGTGACCTTTGCCCTCACAACACGCCCAGATTTGTGTGTGTGTGTGTGTGTGTGTGTGTGTGTGTGTGTGTGTGTGTGTGTGTGTGTGTGCGCGCGCGTGTGTGTGTGTGGGTGCGCGTGTGTATAACCCTAGCAAGTGTTCTAACCCTAGCAAGACCGTTTCTTGGAGCTATAACACGTCGTAAAGCTCGAGGTGGATTTGTAAGAGTAATACACTCGTAACACATGACGATGTGGAGCACACGAGGGCCCCTTGGAGCTAGTAATAGTAGTAGCACATATATAAGTGCATATAAGCGTACATCATTTCATGTTTATATAGCTTCCTATTTCATAAGTGAAGTCTACTGATGGAATATTATCATAGAAATCTAAGCTGGGATAACCCCTCGTCATTTTAAATAAGTTATAAATATATAATTTTGGCAAAATATTCTTCTTCTTGGGAGATATTGCGCATGCGCGAGCACCGTTTCAGACGTGCAGTACGGCCTAAATAAAAGTACGTAATATAGCTTGCTGCGGGAGAGAGGGGTGGGAGACCAAGGGAAGGTGGCAGGGAAGACAGCCGAGGGGCGGTGGAAGAAGAAGGAGGCTGAGCGTGCGACAAGGGAGGCAAGGCGAAGGGCGGGCGGGGATGAAGTAGTAGTTTTGCACCCTACTGGCTAGGGCACTCTCCTAATTATAAGCACAGGTCTACTGATAAGAATTTATTACAGAAGCCTATGCTGAGATACCCCCTTACCATATTAAATGCATTTGCAGCACGAAATATAACTCCTCCAGTGAGATATTGCGCATGCGCCCAAACAGTAACGTAGCCAGATTATGTACTGCCTGGTATATGCAGCCGGGACCTTACATGCAAAGTCTGCTTCCTATTTCATAAGTGAAGTCTACTGATGGAATATTATCATGGAAATCTATGCTGGGATAACCCCTCTTCATTTTAAATTCATAATTTTGGCAAAATATTCTTCTTCTTATGAGATATTGCGCATGTGCGAGCACCGTTTCAGACGTGCAGTATGGCCTAAATCAAAGTACGTAATATAGCTTGCTGCGGGAGAGAGGGGTGGGAGACTGAGGGAAGGTGGCAGTGAAGACAGCCGAGGTGCGGTGGACGAAGGAGGAGGCTGAGCGTGCGACAAGGGAGACAAGGGGAAGGGAGGGCGGGTATGAAGTAATAGTTTTGCACCCTACTGGCTAGGGCGCTCTCCTAATTATAAGCACAGGTCTACTGATAAGAATTTATTACAGAAGCCTATGCGGAGATACCCCCTTACCATATTAAACGCATTTGCAGCACAAAATATAACTCCTCCGGTGAAATATTGCGCATGCGCCCGTAATTTCGTACTGGGCCACCGTAAAAGAATATTCCTTGTTGAATATTGACAGCTAACTCTTTCCATAATAACATACATGTACATTAATTTTACGATCGAATACGTGCATGCCTGGACGATGCTGCCACCACGCGGCGGACGCCGGCATTACTATCGATTACTTGACTGGACGATCCGGCCACGATGTCCCAATGAAGTATTATTGCTTCTCATCGCAATTAATTCTATATGATCTACATACGATTAATCACGCCTGGATCGTAATTTTATATAATTAGTAAATTATATCTATATTTTCTCCTTTCTTGCGTTCTATCTCTCCTTTTTGCGCGCGCCCTCTCTCTCTCCTTTCTTGCGCGCTCTCTCTCTCTCTCTCTCTCCTTTCTCGCGCGCTCTCTCTCTCCTTTCCTGCGCGTGCTCTCTCTCTCTCCTTTCCTGCGCACACTCTCTCTCCTTTCCTGCGCGTGCTCTATCTCTCTCTCTCTCTCCTTTCTCGAACGCTCTCTCTCCTTTCTCGTGCGTGCTCTCTCTCTCTCCTTTCTCGAAGCAATCAAAACGAAGGTTACAATTGGAAAAATATGAATTTATTAGAAAAACGGAATTTTGATAACTTTGAACAAATTTGTCAGCAAAAACAGATAAATCCAAATGGCAATATTCTTGATAATGACAAATCCTATGGTGCCAGCTAGGCCCAAAATACTGATTAATTCTTTCAGAGGAATGCCTATTCGGCCTTTCTGACTCCTACGCTGAACTTTTTTGATATCCATGTAGGATAACAGTATGGCATCATGTTTCACCTTATCAGTTGTCGAATACAGGAGATTAACAGGGGCGGATGCAGGATTTTGTTTAGGAGGGGAGGTGCAGGTGGGAAAGGGCACTTTGAGATTTTGTTAGGGGCAACTGAAGCGGCGGCTGCGCCGCCGCTTCGTGCGCGAGGACCGCAGGTGCGAAGGAAGCGGTGGGGGGTCGGGGGGGCCTCCCCCAGAAATTTGTTAAAAATCAGACTCCTTTTTATGCATTTTAAGAGCATATGAGGCGAACTTTTTGTACTTCAAGTCTTGTCATAGCAATGAAACAGACAATTCCAGTACAAGGCAAAATCCACAAAGCCACAAAAACCATCAACTTGCTTGAAATTAACTGCCATCAGAGCGACAAAATACTAGTACCCGGTGAAATCAAACTGCGATATGCATTGAACACACTTTTATTACAAAAGAAAATTGAAATCATTACATGTATTAATTTATATGCTTTCCGTTTCATACATTTACTATATAAAACTTGAACTTCAACTTGAATTTCAATGACTGATATATTATATTACTTAAGACATACTCAGTATTACTCTTGCCACAGGGGCGTGTACAGGATTTGTACCAGGAAGGGGTCCAACCGTAACCCAAACTTGGGAGCACGCGAAGGGGGTCTGGGGGGCCCTCCCCCAGAAAAAGTTTGAAATTACACCCC